GACCAAAGAGGTCCAGCTTCCTGGCCTCCTTGGTCTTTGGAGTGGGACCCAGCTGTCCTTGCCACTCTGTGTGATTGGTGGTGTCCACCACTAATGTGCCCAGTTGGGGTGGGTGAAGAGGTGCTCAGACCCCTTCTGTGGAACAAAATATTGGCATTCTACCCCTTTAACTGTTGGTGGGATAGAGCTGGATTCTGCCAGAGCACCTTAGTTGTATTTACAATGGTCTTAATAAGAGGAAGGGCCACCCTAGGGGGTCCCTCAGGAGCCAGGATATCAACCATTGGGTCTGAAACCTCTGTGACCTCCTCAGCCTGTAGGTTCAGGTTTTGCGCCACCCGGCGAAGGAGGTCCTGATGGGCCCTGGTGTCCATTGCTGGCAGAGAGGTAGTCGTCCCTGCCATCGCCTCATCAAGCGAGGTGGAGGAAGACGCCCGAGAGGGATTGGGTCCTCTTGCCCTTGTAGTTCCCTGATGGTCACCAGGGCAGTTTCAGGTGCATCAGCTATAGGTGTCCTTCCTTGCACTGGGAGTGGGGTGACAACGGCTCCTGTCTGAGGGTCGGATTGCCCCAGATCTTCCTCTAGGGACGCAGCTCTCTCCTGGATCCCTTGAGACCGATGGGGCCCCGCGGTGTCCCAAGGCCACCAAAGTCGCCCTCGAGCCCGGTCCTTGGGCCTGATGATAGGCCCCTGGGGTCCAGAAGGGCCACTGCACCGGCCCCTGCCATTGGGGAAGCCATGACTCGATTGGCACTAGTTGGGGTGCATCGCTTCTCAAGTGGTGCTGGGAACAGTGCCAGGATCTAGAGCAATACCAGCTCCACCTGGAGGTGTAAGATTCCACCTCCAACTCAGAGGAGTACTCAGATGTGGACCAAGACGGAGCAGAACCCGACGGTGCTGGAGATCGGTGCCGTTGTGAGGATGAGCGATGGCCCATCATCTTGAGCTTGCCCCTATGTCTGATGGGGGGGCGGAGCCGTCATCGGTGCCATCATTGTCAGAGCCATCAATGTCGGTGCCAGGGCATGTGCCAGCAGGCCCGGGGATTGAGCCATCATGGCAATCAGATCCCGTGCTGCTTCCAATGTGTCTGGTGTGGAAGGAAGATCGAGGTCTTCTCCCTCCAAATCCTCCGGCACTGGAGAGTCCACCCGCACCTGACTCGACGGCCACCGTCACGGCCAGAGTCGACGGCTGTGGGACTTGCAGGCCAGGTTTGGGGTGTTCCAATACAGGAGGCACCCCACTGGTGTGCCATGCTGGCGAGCTGCCCCTGTCCGCCGCCTTATTCTTATGCAGCACTGGCGATTGTGAATGGTGTCGCAATGTGGAGCTGGGCCTCGGGGCTGGGAAGCGGTGCCAATGCTCCTTACCAGAGTCCTTCCTCGGTGCCGAGGGTTCCCGCACCAATGCCAGTGCTGGCTCCGGCTGTGGCGAAGTGCAGATTCCATTAGGAGGAGCTTCAGGCGAGAGTCTCTCTCCTTTGTTCTGGGCTTAAAGCCCCTGCAAATCTTGCACCTATCTGCCTGATGACCCTACCCAAGGCACGAGTCGTGTGGATCGCCACGTGGCACAGACTTCAGGCACTTCTCACAGGGCTTAAAGCCCTGGGACTGAGGCATGCCGTGGTCAGGGGGAAAGGGAATTGGAGAAGATCCCCCAGCTAAGTACTAATCAACTAATTAACACTAATGGGTAACTATTTACAACAACTATTCGAAGAAAGACTGCTAAGTAGGCACTTGTAATATGCAAGACTGAGCTGCTCCAACAACCGTCACTGGCGGTAAGAAGGAACAGAGCAGGTGGCGGGTCGGCAGGGACCTATATACACCGCCATAAAGGCGCCACTCCAGGGGGCTCCACAGTTGACCCGACGGGTACTGCTAGAGGAAAAACCTTCTGACAATCGTGCACGCACACCTAACTGGAATGGACATGAGCAAGCACTCAAAGAACCTCACATTCTGCAAGGAACAGTGACAGCTTTTTGGATTAGCTAAATTATGTCGTGCAGTGACTTCATGTGCACCTACTATGTAACCTTAATGCAAACCTGGCATTCAAAGTGACTTTACAAAGCAAGATCCTAGGCTTCAAAACTATTGGGCCTCATGATCATTTTGTGACTTGGTCTATAAAAATAAAGCCAGAGGGGAACAGCCTGTCTTGTGGTCTAAATGAAATTCAGAGGTGATTACAATGTTCATTTCTAAAAGGTGATTTTAATCAAGTAAATAAAATAACAATACCCAGATATCCAGCTGGGGTCCTTCATACTGCTGCCCTTCAAAGACTTCCGGGGCTGCATACGGGGGGCTTCCACACCAGGTGGTGAGAGGCTCACCACTTTTATAGAAATTTCCAAACCCAAAATCTGTAGGGGAAAAAAAAATTATTTTAACACATCTACATTTTTAAACCTACATCCACCAATGATCTGGTGCTGATATGCACTGACTGGGCCTAAAGGCCCACTTTCAGTCATAGCTCTATATTTCCTGCAGAAACAAGAGACGGTTACTCTATTTTTCACTCGCAATGTTATCATCTAATTAAGTGAGAGAGTGGCAACCAGGCTGTGAGCTGAGCCTACGTCCTCACCTGTAAATGTCTGAGATTCAATACTGAACCTGAGAGCTCTTTGGCTTTCTCTAAACTAGGCTTTCTTTAGGCTCAGAGAAGGAAAGTGATTTGACCAAGGGCACACAGCTTTTCAATGCTAGAGAACCTAACACACAGAACCTGAGTCTCCTGAATCCCAGTCCAATGACCTATCCATTATGAAATGAGGCTTCTTCAAGGAAGTATCAAAACGGACTTAATACAAACATAAGAACAGCCATACTAGGTCAGACCAAAGGCCCATCTAGCCCAGTATCCTGTGTTCCGACAATGGTCAATAAAGTGCTAAAAGATGCTTTAAGTAAACAAACTGGGGGAAAAATAGAGTGGAGCAAACATATTTTCTCTTTCTCAGTTCCAGTAATCACAGCGGTTACATGTAACAGTAGGTACAAAAACATTCAGTGCAATTTTTAAGCTGATGTCCCTTTCAGGCTTTGACTGCTGATTTGGACTTTGACAAGGTCTCTGGAAAGGTTGCTTTTGAATAGCTATTAACTTTGGCTTTAAGAGAGCAGTTACATGCCATCAACTTGTCTGTGCATGTACAGTGGACATCAGGGTCTTCAGCGAATGAATGACTAATTCAGGACAGCAGGGACAAAATACACCCATCCTCAAGGTGCCACCAGATAAAGAAATAAAACAAAATGTGGGGAATGTTGTGTGTCCATTGCCAGAATCCATTGCAGCCCTCTGGCTCTCTTCTGTCTTCCACACACACTTCCTAGTCAACACCTTCAATGCTCAGCACAACTCTGATCTGATCTGCCTCTCTGCTCTTACTTCTAGCCATCCTTCTCTCTCCCTTTATCCTGTCCACACTTCATTGCCTTCTTCCATACTCCTTTGTAACACCGCCCCCTCCTCCTCCTGGCACACCTGTTTCAAGTTCCTCCTCTGAACTCCTTCCTTCAACAAAGCCACTCAGTGCTAACCCGCAAAGTGGCGTTAACTATTTATTAATACATTTTAAAAAATAAACCTCCACTGCAATGTACCTGCTCATCTCTTGTGAAATTCTGACTCCACTAAATCAGTGGAGGTTTTGCCATTGAGTTCAGTGGGGCCACTGAAGTCTCCTTGCTTTGGCACTCAAAGAGGAAGAAAAAACTCCAAGGGGAAAGGGAGTGGGATGGACATGTTCTTTGTTTAAAAACCTTTAAGAGTTAAACAAACCCTAACTTTAATGTTAACTAATGGGCTGTATTTCTGTAGGAAACTAAAGCCTGGTTGTGACATTACCCAGGATACAATGTGGACTGATGAACAGCTGTATTCCCTCAGTTCTCCAATCTGGGGTGCCTTTTACACTGCTTTGCTGTGAGAGCTACCACTCCTGGTCTGCTCGCACACAGCCCCAGCAGGTAAGTTACTCCCAGTTATACTGTATGAGTGTTACAACTAGCCACTCATGAAATTACACTGCATACACCAGCATATTCCCAGTCCCAGACTTTCCCCAGAAATGTACATCTTGTACTGCCCAGTTCTCTCCTGGACAATACAAGCTCATATTAAGCCCATCATTTTATTAATAGAAAATGATATGCACAAATCCTGTTATCCCAAATGGAGTTTCCCAAACATTTCAATCCAAACACACTGTTTGAGATAAATCAGTAAAACAAGTTTATTAACTACAGAAATATAGATTAAGTGATTACCACTAATGAGGCATAAAAGTCAGAATTGATTACAAGAAAATACAAGTAAAATGCAACTAATGCCTAACTTAACAAGCTAAGTGAATTCAAAGTCTCTCTCAACACGGTTCAGCAGTCTTACTGGCTGAATTTCTTTCAGTCAGGATCCCTCCCCCAGTCCAATGCTGCTTCCTTGTTCTTCAGGTGTTGTAGATACCTTGGGTACAGAGAAAGGGAGAGATAATTTGGGGCACCTACTCTCTGTTCTTATAGTTCTTTCTCTTCTTCGAGAAGCATCTCCAGCTGAGGTTCAAGGAGACAAAGTTTGTGTGGATAGGAACCCCAAGCTGTTTCTTTGTCAAGATATAGATTTTTCGCTCACACCCTCTTTCCTGCCAAAGGACGGCCCCTTAACCAGTCCATTTGATTTTGTTGAAACCTTGCTGAGGCATCGCCTAGCCTTTTGTCTCTGGGGAACTGGTTTGTGACTGCTCCCCAGACTTGGAACATATCTTAATAGTAACAGAGGGTCCTGTGGCACCTTTAAGACTAACAGAAGTATTGGAGCATAAGCTTTCGTGGGTGAATGCCCACTTCATCAGATGCAAGTAATGGAAATTTCCAGAGGCAGGTATAAATCAGTATGGAGATAACGAAG